AGGAGAAAGCTGTACAAGCTTCAGAAGTGAATGTTGTCAAGACTAGTGATAACAATTCAGATTCGGATTCTTCAGGCTATTCGTTATCCGCACTACCATCAGTTTGTGATGCCGACTCTATGGAGTGGATGTTGGATTCGGGTTCTTCTTACCACGTTTGCCGTAGGAGGGATTTGTTCTCCAGCTTTTAGGAGTTTGAAAGAGAGGATGTCGTGCTCATGGGTAATGGATATGCATGCTCTATTAGTGGCATTGGTACTATTCGGATTAGGATAAGTGATGGGATAACGCGAGAGTTGGATGATGTGAGGTTCGTCCGCAATTGAAGATGAACATCATTTCACTTGGAGCTTTGGAGGTAGTAGGCTATAGGGTGACCTTGGTGGATGCACGTTTGAAGGTCACATTGGGGTCCATGATCGTGATGAAGGGCGTTAGAATGAGCAATTTGTATTATTTGCTCGGGAGCATGGCGATTGATAGGGAGCTGATGACTTCATCAGATTCGGCTAGACTGTGGCCTTGTTTAATGCTGGGTTATTTGATTGGTAATGTCGTGCATAGGTTGTTGAGGAGTGTTTTGACCTATAGTTTGAAGTCTTGTGAACCCATTGGTATGAGCAAGAAGATCAGGGTGGAGTTTGGCACTTCTATCCATCATTCGAGGGGTCTTCTGAGGGGTGTTCATTCAGACATTCGGGGCCTTCCAAGGGAGCATCATTGGGAGGTAATAGGTATGTGGTTTTCGCAGTTAGGGATTGCTCTAGGTATTGGTGGGTTGCAATCAAATCCCGTTGGTGTGAAGTCCCAGAAGTCTACAACAGATGGAGGAAGTGTGTCGATAGAAAGGTAACCCGACGTTCTGTTTATGGTAGGGGTTCTTTCTTACGGTTGTGCCGAGCTCACGGTAATAGGAGACACTTCATTGGTGTGGAAACTTTAAGACGACGAGGCGAGATGGAAGATTTGGGGAGCTATTCCTTGTTGGAGGAGGATCGGCGTTTGATGTCGAGTATTGGTTTTGATGTGCGGGCTACGACATGTTTGGGCCATCTTATGCATAGGTTGCCGACTGTTGCATGTAGAGATTTTGGATCTGGTGGAGCTACTTCAGATTTTGGGTTGCGTCGGATGTTTGGCTACCCAGCACTTGGTCACATCGTGGATGTGAGATTTGTCGGATGTTTGGCTACCCAGCACTTGGTCACATCGTGGATGTGAGATTTGATCCGATAGCACATTTGGGAGTCAGAGGCGTGTTTGATTATCAAGTATTGGATTCTGACTTTGTTCTGAGCATGTATGTCACGTTTGACTCTCGGCAGGTAGAGAGTGGTGATCAGATCTATGGGACATCGCAGCGGGTGGAGAGTGATGCTACTCCACGTTGGGTGGAGACTCTAGATCATACTACATCATTTGGGATTCTAGCTGATGTGACACAGATTGGGAATCATGTTGATTTGGATGCAAATTATAGGTTGATCGATTCGAGTATAGCTGATAGATGGAGTCTGGATATGGCCATTGGTTTATCTCAGGTGGAGATGTTTGGATTGTTTCAGTTTGGGGTCATTAGAGGTGCTATCAGCCGTAGACTTGATCGTGATGTTGGAGAAGTGTTGCGAACTCTTCTAGTGGATTGAGGCCTTTGAAGGCCATTTGGGTGAACTACGTTCGGCTTGATTCCTTGGGCAAAAGGATACGTAGGCAGTCTTTCAGATGCAGCCGGTTTGATTTCGATGGGGAAGATCATGTTTCAACTCTAGTTTGGATCCCGGACTTGTTGTGGATTGAGTCCGTTTTCGTGGGGGTGTTTCCACGATGTCCTGGACGCAACAAGTAGGACTATTGGATGATTTGGTGTCAGCTCAGTTTTGGTAGAAACATTTGCTGAGGTGGAGAATTGAAGAAGTAACAAGAGAAGCAGCAGGAAGTTCAGGAGAATCGGCCAGGCAGACTGGCGGTCGACCGCGAGTCAGTGGCGGTCCGGTCGACCGCCACGGTCGACCGCGTGGACCCTGTAGGATTTTTGGGCTCTGTCGTTTGGTTTGGTCGACCGCCACGGTCGACCGTGAGTTTCCTGTAGCCGATTTGTTCTCTGTCGGGAGTGTTCGGTCGACCGTTGCGGTCGACCGCGATACCTGCGTGGTCGACCGCCGCGGTCGACCGCAGGCTGTTTGGGCTGGGCTTTGGGTTTTCAACCCGGCTCGTTTTGGAGCTGATATATAACTCTAATCTTGATTAGTTAGGGTTAAGCAATGACGATTTTGAGCAGTCTTTTGGAGAGGATTGCTACATCCAATTGTGGGAGATTTGTGAGAGATCTAGAGCTTTGTTTTAGGGTTTGATCGGTAAGATTTGTAACTCTATTTGTATTCTCTTGATTTCTAATAGTAAGAACTCCCCCCTCATTGTCCCGTGGACGTAGACAACTTGCCGAACCACGTAAATAGTTTGTTCTTGCTGTGATTGTGTTTTGCTTATTGGTTGTGGTTTATCTCGAGTTATTGTTCGTGTCGCTGAGTTGGTGGGGATTTGTGCTTACTTTATGAGGATGGTGGGGATTGTGCCACATAGGCGACAATGAGTGAAATCTCTCTCTTATGACAAGGATACTCATTAATCTCTCTCTCTCTATATATATATATATAGAGAGAGAGAGAGATATTAATGGGTATCCTTGTCATAGGAGGGGATTTCCTCCTATGACGCCTCTAAAATCACATGATTGAGCGACATTGTGGATGATCCGCTCCGTTGAACTTGATCTACATATTCTAAAACTCCAACACCAAATTTGGGGTGAATCCGTCGTCGTTTGACCCTCCATCGAGCCGTGTGAAAAGTTCTATTCATTCAAAACCGTTAAAATTGATACGAGTGGATGAAGGGTCAAACGATGACGGGTTCACCCCTAACTTGGTGTGTTGGGTTTTTAGAATATGTAGATCAAGTTCAACGGAACGGATCATCCACAATGTCACTCAATCATGTGATTTTAGAGGCGTCAAGGAGGAAATCCCCTCCTATGGACATAGTCAACATTTGATGCAACATGCTCCCATGCTAAAATCTTTTCACACGGATTCAGACAATCAAGGACCATACTTTTTGTTGATGTAATACTAGGTTGTTTTTTCCTTTTTCTTTTTTTCTTTTTTGGGTCTAACAAATTTAGTCAAATGGGTTTGGAGCAAGGATCCACCAAACTCCAAATACCTATACTTGTCCCAAGTTTAAGATAGTTTCAAGTTAACTGGTAACCATATGCTTATAATTAGTTGAATTAATGTCCTTATCTTCTCGTGTAGTAGCTGTCTCTGTATTAATCGACTCATGATAATAGGAAAAAAAAAGAGATAAGCTTTGGCCTCTTGTTTAAATTTGCAGAATAACAAGAATAGAGAGCAAATCTGTGTTGTCTTGGTTCATGAGAGTACTATTAAATTTGGTGACAATGAAATTTCATGCCTACCATGTGCACTAGTGGACAAAATTTTGTCACGGGTTTCCTGCAAGATGTTGGTCTAGATTTGATTAATCTCAATTTTTCTGATTTGGTTCATGATATTTGTTTATTCTGGTCTAAATTTAATAAAAGAGAAGTTTCTTTTTTTTTTCCACTTAATATATGTAAACCTGTAAGAAGTCCATGGAACCTATTTAACTAAAAAAATTGATACATAATATACATGACGAGGAGGAGGAAGAAGAAGTACACTAGGAAAAGATAAGAGGAGATATTAGAAAGTGTAATAGACTAATGTCGTTTACTGAATCAAGTTGTTGTTTTGCTCCGAATTGATTGTATATTCCGGTGGAAGATGATGTTGGCAAAACAGACAACAAAGAGTGACTGCATTATTCCGAAGCACTCTCTCGTTAAAACAGTCTTCTTTGTAAAACCAACAATTATCTATTTCATTTCCAACAACTATCTTATCCTTGTTAATCTTGTATTCCATATTTCTTTTGAAGGCTTCTTCTATTTCTAAACTAGTGCTTGCATGTCCACGGAGAGCGAAAATTGAAAACCAGGCCTCCCTCAATTTTTTGAAGGTTCACAGTTTAAGCATCACCTTGTGTTGATCGCAAAACAATACGTAACCACATTTTTTCAACTTTTTGTCGGCAAGTTTCATTTGTTAGTCTAAGGGATGTAGACTCAAAGCTGGAATCAAACAAATTGTTGGATAGCAGGTTTTCTAATCTGTTTTGGTAACAGGATTCTTAATCTGTTTTGGTAACAGGATTATTAATCTGTTTTGGTAACAGGTTATCACTAGTACAAAACAGGTCAGCCCAAACGGTTGGAACCGTTTGAGAAAACCCCCTCCCAAACGATTACAACCGTTTGGGCGAGGTTAAAAGCCCGTTTGGGCTAAAGCCGTTGGGGACGAGTTGTCCCCAACGGTCGCCCAAACGGTTGTAACCGTTTGGGCAAAATCCCAAACGGTTACAACCGTTTGGGATGTTGCCCAAACGGTTACAACCGTTTGGGGTATAAAAATTTACCAAACGGATGTAACCGTTTGGCCAAATGTTAGCCCAAACGGTTGAAACCGTTTGGGTAATTTTTCGCCCAAACGGTTTCAACTGTTTGGCCTGTTTTTCACCAAAACGGTTTTAACCATTTGGGCTATTTATTTTAATAGTTTTTAAATTTTGACTTCTTTATTTATCTACTTGTTTATATACACATCTCACACAATAAGTACTCAACATCTCACAATGAAATCAAAATATTCTCAAACTTTGATAAATATCCAATGTTATATATACACAATGTTTACTCAATATACAATAAGTACTCAACATCTCCCAAAAGGAAAGGAAACAGAAAAACTACCACTAAATCCCTGAAAGATTTAGCCCGAGCAAATCTCTGTGCGCTTATGTGTGAGATCACGAGGCAAGTGTACAGATTGAGTGCAAACATCAGGAGACAATTGACGATTAAAATACATGGAACAGATAAACCCCAGGGCCAAAAAGAATCAATCATCGGCTTCTCCCAGAACATCCATGGAACAGGGAAGAAAGTTGAGCTGGAGCAATAAACGACAGATCTTGTTAAAAACACCTTTCTTAATGATTGAAGAATTAGAGTTGAAGGTGTACCTGAAAAAATTTATACAGAACATGGCAGAAATTGAGTTTAGCCAGACGCCACCATATACTCCTAAATACTGGATAACAATTAGCCTCAGCGCTTCACAGATAACACTGCCCATCTGATAGCCCACTCCACGCCAGCTAGAACTTACTTCCCCATAAGATGCCACTATTACTCCAAGGGTGATGGTAGACAATAGCATTTTATATTGAGTTGCCCCATTCTCAAAAACATTTTCAAGTACAGCGACCGCTATGTGAACTGCATTAACCAATAGAACAACATTCAATAATTCATCTGCTATTGACCTGTAATGTGGTACTTTAGATGGACTAGCTAATTTCTTTTAATGATGAAAAGAATCACAAAGTTGGGACTTACAAGTAATCTTAAGCACCTGCATAAAAGCAACGGAGGTGTAGAAGTATGCACTATTTCTCAGCCAAAGACTCAAAGCAAGAGCTCCAGAAATGCAATGAATTAACAATCCAAATCTGAATTAGAATATTTTTTCTGTACATCAGTACAAAATATTTAAACAAAACTCTGATATTTGATATAATGAAAGAAAACTAGTCAACTAGGAGAAACCCATACAAAACTGATCAAGCTAGTATGATATTTGATATAATGAAAGAAAACTAGTCAACTAGGAGAAACCCATACAAAACTGATCAAGCTAGTATAAAAATTAGTAAACTCCTTTAAATTCTAGTCAACTAGGAGAAACCCATACAAAACTGATCAAGCTAGTATAAAAATTAGTAAACTCCTTTAAATTTATTTTCTTATCTTTTAACATCTCTAAAAACAGATCTAACTATCCATACGTTTTTTTCCCTATAATTTATGAACGGAAGCATCCTACCTCATGTTTCTCTCATCTAGGACAAGATATAACATGTAATATTTTGATCAATAATGAAATAAAGTGAACCAATTAATTCAGCATGCAAATAACATTGAATAGAACTCCATTAAGGACCATTTTGTTCGGGTGATTGTTTACTAGAAACTTCAATATAAAAATATCAATACCTTTGGCTCTCTTCTGCCTTTCATCATATCTCACTTCAAAGTGCAAATTTATCTCCATATAGCTTTGCTGTACACTGTACATAAATAGGCAACATAAGATTTATAGCTTTCAAAAGATAAACACGTTCTGTATGACAATTTATTTTCTAAAATAAAAAGAAGAGAGAAGTAGGAAAAAGGAAAATAGAAGGACAAGAAGGGAGACTCTATATGCAGATGATTGGCAGTCAGTGCTTACTTTCTATTTTGCTTTGTTTCCTTAAAGTTCCTATTCCCAGGATGCTCAATTCCTCTGGCCTGAGGACAAAATAGATAGTAAAAGAGGCAAACATAGCGAGAGCTCGAAGAACATTTAGGAAAAATCAATAATCACCAGTTAAAAGCTACTATAAGTATTGTAATAATCCTGATGGAAGTCACTGGTGATCAAAATAAAACATACCTTCATGACCTTCAGAGTTATCAAGCATAATGCAGAGGAGAAGGCCATTTGCAGGAAGCACAATCCCACTGGATAAGGAAACTTGATTTATTCATATGATAACAGCAGCTACAAGTATAAACCAGAAGCTAGTCATTGGCAGTGTATGAACTATGAAGTTAAAAGGTGCTGCATTTCTTCCTTTGGAAGAGCATTCAACATGAGAAAAGAATAATTCAAGCACCAACCATAAGAAGTGATCTAAAAAGGGAGTTGAAAGGCAAAAGGCAAAACACTCGAAAATTAATTGACCTAGCTTATTCAAGGTCATGACAAATATTTATGGCTTCTTTTTAAATATGAAGGATAGTCTTCTAACTGTTCTGGCAATAAAATTTCTGAAGTTTAATTAGAACAATGACGATAAAGAATCAATGCTTTTGAAAAGTATTTGGGAAACCATAACAGAGATAAATCCGATGTTCCTCTATTTTTAGCAGAAAAGTCATGTTCTTCCCCAATATTAATAGAACTAACAGGGCCATGGTTCAAATCAATCTTAGTTGTCCCCACTGCTAATGAACTAAGAAACCCAGATTTTCCTTCAATTTCAACCGGAAAATTTACAAAATCAGCAATTCCTTTAACAAGAGATCATGCTTACACAAATTTGTCAGCAAAATAGGATCCCCATTACCGCAAACTCGCCATTGGAACCTTCTCTGTAGCTCTTCTGTGAAAATAAAGGAAAGATATCGCACTTAATTTCGTCAAAGCTAGGGCTTTTAAATTTGGAAGAGAGAGGGAGCCAAGTGAACTATGAGTACCCATATTGATCGTCAGCCCTCTTCAAACCTTCAAGAAATAAATAAGATTTAAGAAAGAAGAGTTAAAAAAGAGAAAAAAGGGGCGAGTTTTAGGGTTTGATTACTGTTCTTGGGAGCTCGATTCTCGTCGAGGATTCCAGTGGGAATGGCACTGATATTTGTTTCTTTACCCTAATTTAAAAGAAAGAAAAAGAACCTGATGAAGACGAGGAGAACGGAGGACCTGATGAAGACGAGGAGAACGGAGGAGATGCATATCAAGATGACGTGGAGGCGGCGGCGGGAGCGTAGGAGGAGGAAGAAGATGGCAGAGGTATTTGAGAGATTTGGGTTTGAGATGACGGATTTGAGGGGATGGGGTTAAGGGGCGCGGGGATTTTAGATTTTGGGGGAAATTTTTGGGGGGAAGCGGAAGAGAACGGAGGAAAAGATGTTCTTTTAAAAAAACTAAATCATCCAAACGGTTAAGACCATTTGGGCTACACATTCCAAATGGTTAAAACCGTTTGGGGTTGTGTTTGGGGGTTCTTAACAATCCAAACAGTTTTAACCGTTTGGGTTTTGTTATCCCAAATGGTTAAAACCGTTTGGGCTATTTTTACTTGCCGAAACGGTTCTAATAACCGTTTGGACTGTCCTGTTTTGTACTAGTGTATTAGGATTCCTAATCTGTTTTGTTTTTTGGTTTTAGAATTTCTGGTCTGTTTTGGTTTTAGGTTTTCTATATATATAGAACGTGTTATGGTGTTCACTCGCCCAAGATACAGTATTTACAAAATAATGCAATAAGAGCTCTAGTCAACTCTCAAGAGTTCTAGGCATTCGACTTCTCAGTCAAATTTTAAGACCTTGGTACCTCATCATGATGAGGACAAGAATGACAGCTTCCCAAATTTGTTATTTGACTTTTTAAATTTTCAGTTTTAGTAGTTTGACTTCGAAATTTGAATTGTAGTCTAAATTTAGTAGTTATTCAGTTTTGGTATCTAATTGATTTGGAGAGATTTGAGTGATTTTAGAAGATTTCCAAACAGTATTTTCTTTTCTTTATATGGGAGTGCTGTAATCAGATTGAATAATTGATGAATTGATGAAATGAAATTTGCATTGGCTTATTTGTGGTGTGAAACCCTAGGCTAGTGTACGTTTGTTTCTTCCAGCCGTCATCTTTCTTTGTTCTCTGCTCCACGTAAACTCCCAATCACATCTTCGTCTTCATCCCTCAACAACAACAAACCCAACTTCACCTTCTTCCAGCACCGCAACAAAACCACTCTTCTCATATTCCAACGCCAAAACCCACATCCCACTGCAGCCAACATCTTCCACAAACCCAATTCTTTCCCCTCTCTTCTTCCTCCAGATCAGAAACTATCAACGCCCCAGATCCCAATCTCCTCCTGATCTGTTTTCCCCATCCACAGATCCGTTCAACCCTCTGCTCTCCTCCCAATTGAGCAGCCCCACAAACTCAGCTCCTCCCTGCTATCTTTTCGACAGACAGGTCCAGCTGGCAGAGACAGATCTGTCCGTATCGCCGTCTTCCGCCTTTACTTCGTCATCGCCGCTGTTCAGATCATCATCGCGCGTCGCTGCTTGGATCGGCCACCATCGCCCGTCGTCTCCTTCAAGCACTGCTCATCCGCTTTCCTCTCAGGAAGAGAACACAGAAGGAATCCGATCAGAATATATCGATGTGTGTGGGCTTGTTGATGTTATGGGCTTAGGCTTCACTGTAGCAGTTGATGGGTCTGGGCTTCACTGAAGAAATTCTTCTAATGGGTTTTGGATTTCTCTCGGCATTTTGGACAATAAACTCTCAACTCAGTAATTTTCTGTTAATCTCATAATTGTTAGTTAATTACAATGCGTATTAAATCTCTAAACTATTATTATATATTCACTGCTTAATCTATTTTTGTGAGTTAGAGAGAACTGAACATGTGACTGATTAATTTTGATATTGAATATAGAACTTGCGAAATGATAATTAATATTGTGATGAAAATATTTGAGATTGAAACTGTTCATGAGTATCTTTGCAAAATCTTGTCAAAATCCATCTGTCGCGTTAATTATTTTTGAATTAATTTCCTACCAAATATCATGATTTTTGGCGAAACAATGCTTTGTTCAAATTGAATCGCTGATCCCGATAGACCCCCTTCCCCGTTTCACATCATTTTTGGTATCAGAGACCATGGTTCTAGGTTAGGAAAATTTTATTAGTGAGTCTTTATTAAAAAAAAAATCTTCTTCTTTTTAGTTATTAGTACACACATTTCATCGCATTTATTTGTGCATGCCCACTCGTACCGGTCTACCCTATCGTTTAGGAGAGTCAAGTGAGTCGACTAGTGAGTCTAGTATGTCAGGCAGCAGCGACCCCGAACTCCATAAGAAACTCGATGAGCTAGCAGGACAATTAGGTGCCGTAGTCCAGGGTTTAGCAAATCTCCGAAATGAAACCAACGAAAAGTTTGCTAGGCTCGAAGAAGCTCGTGTTGCAACCCCGCCACCGCAAGGTCAAGGTTATGAACACTTCACCCCGCCGCTGCAAGGTCAAGGCTATGGAAACATCGTTCAACGGCCCCCACATCAACCAGTACCTGATCCGGATGCGCAATACCTGAGGAGTATTAAGATCAACGCCCCAACCTTTGATGGTAGGCTCGACCCAGAAACTTTCTTTGATTGGCTGAAGAGCATGGATCTCTACTTCGATTGGTACGCCCTGACGGAATCCCAAAAAGTCAAGTTTGTCACAATGAAGCTCACCGGACCCGCTTGCTAATATTGGTCCAACTTTGAAATGATAAGGCATATTAGAGGTGAGTTACCGATTTTTACTTGGCGAGAAATGACCGACGAACTGAAACAAAAATATCTCCCGCCATCATTTATTTATAGATTGCTAGATAAGTGGCATTGTCTTACTCAGGGAACCAAATCTGCAAAAGAGTACGCTGCTCAATTTGATAAATTGTTTACTCGATGCAGCACCATTGAACCAGAGGCACCGATAAAAGTCTTATCAAAGTTTAGTTCCGGATTGAGAAGTGACCTCCAAACCGAACTCTTTGCTAGAGGAGTAAACACCATTGAGAGAGCTTACGCCTTAGTTCAAGAGTTAGATGAAGCCAAATTACACCAATCTCATAGGGCTCAGAATTTTCATACTCATTCCTCCCAGTTTTCCTGTGCCAATACCTCTAGTCAGCCTCTGAGTCGATCTAACCCTAGTTCTTCCCTGTCTAGAGTCGATCCCAAGGGCCAGAAGTCAGAAAGATATCTCTCCAAACGTAGCCCAATAATGCAATGTTACAATTGTCAAGGATATGGGCACGTTGCATCCGTCTGTACAACTCCGTTCAGAGTTAGAATTAATAAGCCGCCTATAACGGAATAAAAATCTATTATTGAGGAAACCGTTACCCAGGCTGTAAATTTGACAGAATCTAACTCTGACAAGAAAATCCAGGGTAGTATAATCGAAGAACCATACATTTATGTACCTTCTGAAACTACCCCAACAATTGTGGAGTTAACTGAAGTTTCATGCAATGACAACACTCCGGTTATTCCACAAGCTACCCCTTTGATCACGGAGTCCACGGATGTTATTCCTGAAGTTGTTCTTGAAATCAAAACTCCAACTCCTTCTGAACCAACTCTAGTGATTGAAAACGCTGTTGATGTTCCCCACAGAGTCCTCCCAGACCAACATGACCCCCAACTCGTTCCTGATGTGGGTCCTAAAGCGATTCAATCTAATATCTGTATGGAAGTTGAATACCAAACTGAGGCTAATGAAATAACTACCATACTAGATATCCCACCATCATGCATTGTCCCAACAATCACTCCCACATATATTGATCCATTTTGGGAGAAAATATTGATTAGGGATACAAGTTGTAGCACGAGTGTTTTTATTTCCTTTTTCGCTCATGCTAAATGCACCAAAACACTCATCTTTCATGCATGTGTCTGCATGTTCCTCACTGTCATTTTTAGGACGAGAAATTTGTTATGCACATCAATGAAGGAACACCTAATTATTCCATTTGATAGAGGATGTTATGCATATTGAACTTTTCGTTGAGTTACATCTACCATTGATCACATTTTTCGAGTCTACATTTCATACATAGTCATTCGAGTTGATTACATCATTTGCATTGATCATATATTGGGGAATCAGTGATCTAATTTGAATAAATACATTGTTAGCTGAAATAT